ATAATACTTAGTTCTTATTAACCGATCGGGAGGTCTGTATGGGAGAATCTTGACCAAGGTCGCCAGTACAGACCAAAATGCAGTGAGGTCTGTACCAGCGACCGAGGTCAAGATTCTCCCATACAGACCAACCTAGCTCGGTTAATAAGATGTTTATTATTATATGGCTGTGTCTTATATGCCAATTTTTTATGTTCTTTGTACTTTTTTTTCTAGACCAGTCTAGATGCCGGTCTAGATGGGAAAATCTAGACCGCTTTCAAGATTGATTTCAGCCAATCAAATTCGTGAATTTGGTAGTTCCCAGTCCCTGTGAGACAAGCCATATAATAATGACCTTTCCAGACATTCTTGCACAAGAGATAAAACAGGATGTTGTAAACAGTTAAAGAATTATCAAGGTTGTTGCAGTTTTTTTAATTATAACATTATCTTACATGAATATAACTATCTGAAAGAATTTCAATAGTTACATAGTATTTCTAAATATGCGAAATATTAAAAAAGAATGAAGTAGGAAGCAGTTTACTACAATTTGCACTGTATTCATTCAGGCATTCCACCGTCTCAGATCACTTGACAATCAATCCGTTCAAAATCGAATCAATGTAATATTATACTCAAAATATGTTACTATTATGAGGCCACGGCGAACTAACTCGATTGCTTGGCCGCTTTGCACGGAGTTTATTCGTTAACATACTAATTTACGACGGTCAACCCATAAAAAATTGTATTACAATTTGCAAACGTAACTTACATTAAAATATAGCAAATAATAACTATGATAAATAAAACGAATATTGGCAAGAGTACAATGTCATGATAAGTTATAAATAGGACACTTTTTTCATCGGAGAAATATGATAAGTAGATAATTTGTCGTAAGTTTAAATACTAGTAGTGAAAGTAAATTTGTCAAATTATAAATACTATAAGAACGATTTAAACAGCGATTAAATTAGATCGTAAATATGAAATATCGCTGGTTCGTTGATGATGAAACGGTTCTTTTTCCAGTGGCGATGTTTACTTTATTCAAACCTTTTTCAATTCATCAGCGTTCGAATGTAATTTTGCGCGGGGTACTGTGAGGCTTCCTTTTGATGTAGAAGTCGAGTTCAGACCATTCTCCAACTAGACGGCTGGCCCTAAAAATCGATAAGAACTTTATAATGCAGCAATATTTACGGGAGGTTGAGAAAATACAACAGTGAAAAAGCACGGTTTCGTCCGTACCCTCTCCTCCAAGGAGAAACGTTTGTTCTTACGGGGGAGGGTATGGCTACACTGAGCTAACTCATTACAACTCCTGTTAGCGATCGCGTGACAGCTGTGTGGTCTGACTGATCTAGCGATCAGGAAAGAAAACATTTCTTCTGAGTTAAAGGGTTACCGAGGGAGTCAGAGGGGACGATAGATAA